AACAGTCTGGACTTTTCCAAAAGAAACTAGTGTTCTTCCGATGCATGCATTTATATCCAGTTATGCAGCCAGTGTAACAACGCTGCTGAGAACAGGCCAGTTCTTTTAAAAACTGAAAATGACAGAAACTGAAATACTGTAAGTGTATTGTCTAAAACTTACTACTACAAGACTGCATTAGCGGATCATGATTCGTTTCGATTCACACAAACTATCAACGGGAACGGCACAAAAGAGGACCTCACTAATGGATTAAGGGTTGAGTAACAACTGAGCAAGGCGGCAAATTGTTTACTTACCCAATGAAAGACTAAATATGTTGTAAATGCTTATTTAAATCAATGTAAAGTGATCGTAGGCAAACACTTAACTATGCAGACAGCGTAGCTTGCGTCTTTGACCAGTAATTTTAATCGTATAAAATTAAAGCTGGTGGATATGTTTATGCAAATTGATGTTTAAGGTAGGTGCAAAGGATGAAATAATTTGGCTGATCTACGAATCCGTTTGACGCTTTCCTTTTTCCTATTATATATCGTTCAAGAGGGATCAATTTTCTCCACTCTCTTTTATGCTATTTCAAATATGTGATCAAACTCCCTTCGTTGCATCATACCACCTTTTCAGAAAACTTCTCCCACATCTCTTCCTCATACTGTTATTTTTTCGACCATCTTCCCTGCCAACGGCTGAAACAAAGGAGCTTAGTTTCTTTCAGCTTTATGGATGCCATAGTTTCTCTTAATATGGCAATTACAAATATGTTTTGTAGACACTATGTGTTTCACATTAAAATTTTAAATATTAGATTTTAGAAACTCACCAATGGTGGCATTATTACAGCGATCGTAGCATTATCACCAAGAAAGATTTGGGAAGGGTCATTCAAGAAGTCATATCGACATTAAATCTGCCGAGCGTGGACTTCACGAAATGAATGCCGTCAGAGGTAGCCCGATAGCAGCCGGTACGCTGATAGCATATTTGTCGCTTCTTATAAGAATTTACAAAATACTCTTTAGGCACAAGTGCTGCGATCGTTGTAATGATCCCACTAGGTCAGTTTTTCGAATAATTGATTTTTGAATCTTATATAATTTTTAAGAGAATGCCAACCGTAGACCTGCCAAGTGTGGACATCATGAAAAATAATATACCACCAGCGGTGGCCTTTTGGCAGATCTATCTTATATGTACTAATTATGCCATTAAATATTAAGAGCATTACATAAATGGTAGATTAAAATGTTATCGAACCGGTTTCTTGATATCGTTCTGACATAAACTTAACCTACCCTTTGGCATTTTACTTATAGGCATTTGATACAGGTTTATGAAAGCAGCTTAAGATCCATATATCCTGCCTATGGCTGCCTGTGGTAAAGAGCTTCCGGTGACATGATGCAACAAGAGCAGCAATCCATATAACACTTTATGATGATTTGCGTTGCTCTAACGGTGACTATTGTTCAGTCATGACATCGCAAAGGTTAGAGATCTGTCTCATATTACAGCTGCGAACTGGTTCTCTTCTCATCCATCTTTTGATTCTGCACATGTCCCTACTTAAAGTGACCAATGAATAATTAGTTCATCACGCATAGATTGAAATGAAATATCACCACGCAGTTCTAAAGGTCAATATTAAATTATCCTGATGATATACGGTATATGGTATTGCTGCAATATTCGTCCCATCTGCAAAAGCACACGAAGATAGGTATATGGCTTATTTTAAAGGTAGACTTAAATATTCAGGTTTCGTGTATTCAACTGTAATACAGTCCCTTCAAAAGACGCAGATTATTTACTTTACGGAAATTAATTTGGGCATGGCTGAAAGACCAGCAATCGCAGAAAGCAGGAAGTATAGTAGATATTTTAGATAGAATAGGGAGAATTTGAGCTGAGAGTCTTACTGTCTTACGAATGTCTGATATTAATGAGTCTGAAAAATTATTTTGCTCTTAGATATGTCGCAGTCAAAGGAGACAGTAGATGGTCAAAAAAATACATGTGACTATTCTAAAGGGCTGTAGTGTCAAAATTAACGTTTTCCAATTGAAACCTGTTTTTTAACGAGAAACTGTACGAGGAAGATTAGAAAGAAACTATTGCTACCAACAGAATTGCCCCCTGCTGCATTCATAACATTTAGATTGAAATAAAAATTAAATATTGGTTATTAAGCCTATGAAAAGCCCATAGTATTAATAAAACTCTTCATGGATTACGTATGATAGAGGTTATTAACCGGTTTATGCCGATGTATGTACAATAAAGCCTTCCTCCACTTGTACCATAATGATGGGGCATGATGGAACAGGTAAAGAAGCTTTGTTCTGTTATTCAACAGTGCAAAATTTGCTTCCAGCTTTGACACTGGTGCAAATAAACGGTGTTAATTAAAAATTAAAAAATAAAACCGTAAGCGGAGTGTGGCCAAGAGGAAGACAAGATTCTTTCCGTCTTCTGGAGTAAAGTCGCTTAATCAAGCTTACTTTGATCACAATGGACTCTTACATTTACTTGTTTCATAAGAACAAGGACAGTCTGAAAGACAGACTTGCCATATGGAACCATTAAAGTTTACCTGACAGCCTTACATTTGTCCAAGATTCTCTCGAACTGATATGGGTAGTAAACGTCCATTCGAGAAGAGAACTTGACCAAGTGGCCTGAGGCACTTTTAAATGTCTCTATTTATCTTACTATACCGGAAGATCTCGTTTTCTGTTCATAACCGTAAAACTAATCGTTAATATCATAATAGAACTGCTGAAGCAGTGTTCTAATTTTAAACACCTAGAAGTACTACAGACCAGTTTGTTGGACGGCTGATGGTAGTTCACATTATGCTAATAACCAATTTATGCCACATAACTTAATGGAGGTAGAGTAGAATATTTTGTAAACATGGTTTAAAATTTTCCTCCTTGCAGATCACCAAGTGAAGGAAACCACCTTACTGAACCTTACGTTTATTGCGTGAACTTCGTCAGCTGCCTACATGAACACTTGTTCAGGACACTGCTCACCGTATTTTTAACTTTCGACTGCTTGACTGCTCTGCCAGGCAATCTTCAGTGAGCAAGGGGTATTTCGAGCTGTCTACAACAAAGCGGTTAAACGCTTTTGTGAATGTTTGAAAAAAACATGGGTTCGAACAAAGGGCTGCGGTTAAAAAATCGAAATCAACAGCTGCAACGAACGAGTTTTACCGAAAAGCCGTCAATCGTTTGGACAAGCAGTGTCTTCTCATTTAGGTTATGGAAAACCGGAATAAAATTAGCATTGATTAAAGTAATTTTACTATTACAGAATGATGTAGGAGGTATGTGGGTATTATTGACAAATATATTTCTACTCAGAAGGTAGG